GCCTTGGATGTATTAATCATACTTTGATTCTACAACAATGTTAACCATTAAAAATTGCAAAAGTAAAAAACAAAAAACAAAAATTTTAACTGAAAAGGACAAACAATTGTGAAAAAAAAATCAAATTTTCTTTTTTGTTTTTCCGTTCGCTACAATTTCCAATAATCTTCACCCGTTCGCGATTATATTTTAACTGAATTTTAATTCAATTGAATTTTGTATGGTTCAATTGCATACACGCAAAACAAAAAAAAAATGAAAAAAAAAAGCTGAAACAGAAAAGAAATACAAAAAAAAAAAAACACAGTTAAAAACAAATAAGAAGTTTTCCAACATTTAAATTTGTTGTTTTTTTGTTGTAATTTTTGTGCAGCAACAGCAGCAGTAAACAATAGAGCAGTTTAAAGCAACAACCAAAATAAAAACAAAAATAAAATGAAAACAATACCCAAGAAATTTTTACGAAAAATCAACCAAATCTTAAGCAAAAGTCAGGTTAAACAGCTTTTGAACAGTCGCATTCCTCTACATGGTACTCTCGTATTCATTATATTCCATAATGGTTAAAAGAAGTGAAACTTTCATAATAAATTTCAAAATACCCATATAATATTTTTTACAAGCGACAAAACTACAAATCAAATACTACAAATTTTGTTTTTATATCTTTACAATGTTTACAAAAAAAAAAATAATCAGCTGTAAACTTGTTTACTTTTTTTTTTTTTGCTCTTTCTTTGAAATTTGAAGCTTAATTAAAAGTTTTCATATACATACTTGGGTTTGAAGCTTAAAAGCTTAAATTTTAATTTAGATTCGTCATTATTGTTAACTGTTTTCAATGCGTAAACTTTAACATAACGGTTCAAGTATATAAAGTTTAAAATGACTCGAGCTCGCTATCAAGTTGAGCTTTTAATTTGTGATTTTTCTTTTTCTTCGTTTTTTTCTTAACGAAGAATTAAGAGAGTTGTTCGTTTAATTTATTGTTTTTCTATTCGGAAAGTTAAAAGTTTTTGTGTTTGAAAAATATTATTTATTTTTAATAAATATTTTTAAAAGTTTTAGTAATTAAAAAATTATATTATTTGAAAATTGCATACATTTAGGCGAAATGTATTTCTATTTCAATGCTTTAGGCAAATATTACAAATTTTTTTTTTCAAATATAATTGAATACTATTTTATCTAATTTTATATGTGTTGATTTGTTAATAAAAATTTTAATTATCTATTAAATGCAATATGATATTTTCAATTTGTAATTTCGTTAACAAAAATGTTAAAATGTCGCCTATAATTAATAATTTTTTTGGTCTAATCAAATGGTATTTATTTTACCATAACCGAATTCTAATGATAAAATATTAAAAATTTATCTTAGTTTTTCGATAAAATTAAAAAATTATGTTTTGTTAAATAAATGCAATATTAATTTTTTAGTTGTATTTAATTTTTAAGATTTCAGAAATGAACGTACAGTCTTTAAAATAAATTTCGAAAATCTGGAATAAAAACATAAATTTGAGGCTCAATTTTAAACTATGATGCGTCTTTTAAAAATATTAGAGAACTTCATTTAATTTTTTAACCCAAAAACTATATCGTGAGTTTAATACTACAACCAGATAACTCGGAAATTTTATATTTTTAGATAATTGACCCCGGTGTCATAAAATCTAATGCTCTTTCATCTGCAAGCTCTTTCATCTGCCATCAACATCTAACCTTAAAAATGTTCTTACATATCTGAAAATGATAATATCAAAACTAGACATCTTCATGATGATTTATTGCTATATTTTGTATCTATATAAGTCAATACCTCTGAATCAATAATTTCAACTTATCTAGTTGTAGCATTAACCTCACAATATGTTTATCGATTTTACGATGCCTGGCTAGAAAATTGAATAAAATATGTGTAATATTTGTTCCTGTATTCAATTTTAATACAATAAAAGCACCTCTAATCAACATTATTTTAAATATATAATAGAATAAACTTGGTAAGTTTAACATAAGTATGACAAGAGTATGAAATTACAAGAATGACCCTAAAAATCACAAAGAATTTTTACTAAAGAATTTCGAAGCATTTTTTATATTAAGAAATTCAAAAATATTTTCTCTTAAATTGAATAAACTTTTAACATCGTAAATATTTCTCTTAAATAATGATCCAGTTTTTTTTTTTTCTTTTCTCAATGTTAATTTCAATATTAAAGGAAAACTTTAAAACCTTACGAAATGATTTATGTGTGTTTATTTTTTTATTTTTATTTTAATATTTTCGCTTAAAGATGCAAATTTCAATTTATTTTGATTTTAAAGCTTTTGAAGGTCATTCGTTAAAATATCAACATATGTAGATGTATGTATGTGCATTAAATAATATATGTGGGGTGTACATATGTGTTAAATATGTGATTATGTAAATAAAAAAAAAAATAAATAAATCTAAATATTTAGATTGATAAATGTTCAGTGATTTTGGACATTAAAATATTTTGGTCAATGTGTTTACAAAATAACAAAAAAAAAAAAAAAAACAAAATTATTTCATGCAAAAAGTCCATGAACTTTAAGAGTGAATAACGTTACTTTTCTATATGAATATTTTATGGAATTGGCAGGATTTCTGCTTTAATTTTTTATTTGAAGTGGAAAATAAAAAAATAAAATCAAAAAAAGAAAATTATTGTGAAAAAAAGTTTCTCGCTTGAGTTTTTTGTTTATTTTTTTTTTTTTTTTTTCAAATATTTTTATAAGTTGTTGGACGGAATTGAATTTAATTTAAGAATTTAAACATAATTAAAAATTAATATTAACATGAATTTTAAAAATGTAGTTTTTTAAAGTGAGTTTAGTAGGTACACAATATTAATTTTTCAATTGTTTGATTTTATTTAATTTTTCATTTTGAAATTTTAAAATATTTAAGTATGCCACAGAATGGCAAAGCGTTTCGAAAATTTTCAAATTGAATAATGAACTTTAGTGCTTAGAATTTCTGCTCTTTGAAAAAAAATTATTTAACATTTAAAAAAATTTTTCCTTTTAAATTATTGCGGTTTATAGAGTAATTGGCTATACAAAATGAGAAAAATGATAATTAATTCAAAGATGTCCAAAAATAATGGAAAATAACAATCAAAAACATTTCTCTAATATACCTATATGCATTTAAAATTTAGATTTTGTTTACTCGTTTTTTAAACTAAATTATACTTAAATAACTTCACCTGTTAGCCAAACCTTAATATACAAATTTTTAAGTAAAACAAATTATTATTAATTTTTTATTTCTTAAAAAATCTACTTATTTATATTTATTTTGCATAATGCAGTCAAATATATTAACAAGTTTATTATTCTAACCGAAAAAAAAACCGTTATTAAATTTTTCATTATACACACATTTGCATACAACAAAAGCAATTTAATTATTCAAACCAATTCAAATAATATTTATTCTACGAATTCCTATATATATTTTACGCTTATATATTTTTCACATTTCTAGCTATATCATATCAAAAAAATAGTAGGCATATTTAATTTACTTTATGAAATAAATTAATATTATATTTTAACTGGAAATTCAAGTTTCATTACATTGAAAATATATTAACATTTATTTGTAAAGTAAAGATGAAATAAAAATATTTTGTAGTTATAGTTAATCGGTGACAAAATAATCGCAAGTCAAAAAATATTTCATGCTTACTTAATGACCGATTATATTTATAAATTTGTGTGTACATTTAACTCTCTTACTGCTATTAGAATACATACATTAATATTTGTACCATGTACACAACATTTATAATAACACGTACTAATTAGTAAAAGTTTTAAGTAACTTAAAATTTTTAAGAAAAAATTTAAATATCAGACTAAATGACTTTTTCATGAGACTGACAAAAAGATTCTTAACAGTAGAAAAATAACTCTTAATAATAGTACATATTTTCTTAAAATATCAACTTTAATAAATTAATATTACTGAAAATCATTGACTCAATATTTTATTTAACATTACTGTTGCGCTGTGCTATTAAATACAATAATAACATTAAACATCTTCATATTGATTACTTTACCATAATATAATGGTTTTATACTCACCAAAAATTATTCATCTATTCTCTCAAATTTTAAAGAGAAAACAAAACAAATAAAATTGTTAGTCATCATCTTCATTAAATATTTTTTGAGAAGAGCTTTTAAAACGTCCTTGAGAGCTTTCAAAATAATCATTATCATCATTCATCATCATCACATTTTATAAAATATTTATAGTGATTAGTGAACAGAAATTCAAACTGTAAATTAAACTTAAATGAAAAAAAAATAAAATCAGTAAGTGCTTTTCTCTCTGTTAACAGAAAATTGTTGTTGTAAATGTAGGCGAATAAAATTTATGTTTGTGCTTTTATTTTGTTTTCATTTTGTCTTTTTTTTTTAGCTTTTCTAGTTTTAATAATAACATTGCGTTCAGTTGGATGTACGTGACGAGATGAAAATAAGAGAATGATGTGAATAAAGAGAATGTATGTAAATAAAATGAGAGAATGATTAAAGAGAAAAATTTAATTTTTATTTTAAAATTTCTTCCTTTGCTTTTCTTATTTTTTTTTCAATTTTTCTCTTCATTCTTATAATTTTTATATTTTTTTTTGCTTTTGGTATTATTTTGGTTTGTTTGTGGTTTTTTGTCTTCTTTTTTATGCTTCTTGATAAAAATATCGGTTGAATATTTTTTTTTAATTTCTTTTTGTTTTTCTTTTCTTCTTCTTCTTCTTCTGTTTATTTTCTTTTTTGTTATTATTGTTATTATTATTTATTTTATGTACTTACTTGCGCTTAATGGTTTACCGTTAAATTAAAGTTAAATTTCAATTCAGTTTAATTTTAAACGCGAACAGCTTTACAGCGTTTTAAAAAAAAAAAAACAAAAAACAAAAAAAAACAATATTTGCGTCGTTTTCTGGTTTTTTTATTCTGTTTGTGTTAAAATTCCAAAAAAAATAAAATAAAATTTTTTAAAAAAATTTTTTGGATTAAAAGCGGGCTTACACTTGCTTTAAGTTTTTACGTTTCTTTTCTTGGTTTTTGTGTTAAATCTTGATTTAATAAAATATTCAATTCCTTCAAAGGATTCTATTTTAAAAAGTGGAACGCATCAAAATAATTTTTTTTTGTAAAGTGGAAAAAAACCTATTTTGGATTTGATTCCATTTGTGTAGTAAGGGTAATAAAGATTTGCAATTAAAGGAAAAACAAATAGAAAATTTGAAATAATTAAAAAATTTTGAAAGATAAAAAAAATTTTTTTTTTGAATAAAAATTAATTTGAAATTTTTACAAGTGCTTTTAAAATCTAAATTTTAAATTAATCGAGTCCCAAAATTAATTTTAGTTTTCGTAAATAAAATACAAAACAATTTTTGTTTTAAAATTAAATTTTTTAAAAATTGAAAAGAAGAGTGAGATACAAAATTTTTGGAGTATTTTCTAGCAGTTTTGTAAAAAAAAATAATTTACTTAAATGGTCAAAAGTTCAGATTTTAATTAAAGTTTTCCTTGAAAACGGCAATTTGATGCCTCTAAAATTTAGTGGTTCTTATATGTAGATCCTTTAATTTATTTAATAATTCAAACTTTTTAAGAAAAACTTTAAATACCAGAATAAGTGACTATCTTACATAGACGTGTTCATATCTAGGGCAATTTTAAAAAATTACAATAAATAGTAGTACCTAAGAATTTTGTGAAATTTAAGGTTTACAAATATTATGTAGGAACTATTGCAAAAATTCAAAATATTAAAAAAAACAATATTTTAAAAAATATTTGAAAAATTTCATTGGTACTCGTATATCAAATAAAAAACATATTTTTCAAAATATTTTTGCCATATACTCTTAAATTTAATTTAGAATTAAAATTAAAAATTTACTTATAAAATAAAACAAAAAATTAATTATAAAAATCAAGATCTCTTATGCTCTTGTAATATAAATGATCGTCTTCTAATTACAGCCGTAATCTACAAATTATATAAATATATTTATATCCGTGAATGTTCTTTTAACTACTTATTAGGATTCCCTCACTGCAATTATAATATATAGAATACAATTTTAGGGCAATTACACGTATGTCCAGAAAACATCCTGGTTGTAATTCATTCTTACTTTATTTGAACAAGAAAATGTAGAATGTCCAATGAATAACACTCATTTTCAAATGACAGACAACTTTTTAAAGATTTTTGAGAATTTTTACTTTTCAAGTGGTACTGATGAACAATAATTACAAGAACTTTCAATGACTAATATAATTATGTATGAATAATATATAATAAATTTATGCTAAATCGCTTAATAATCTTAATAATCTTAAAATATTTTTTCAGAATGAGAAAAAAAAATTTATTTTTCCCCTAAATTTTTTTACAAATTCTTTTATTCAATCATTGTTTTATTTTAATATTGGTTAAATCATCACCATAATTTTTAATTGGATTTCTTGAAAAAACTATTGTGTAATTTATTAAAACAAAAGTTCGCAGCTATATTACCAAAAAAAAATAAAAGGCAGTGAAAAGGGGTTTCTTTTATAATTACAATATAAATCATAAATTCCCAAAATCCAGAATGGAAGCGAAATAGCGTAGAAACCAAAAATTTCCATTGTATTGTGCTCATGTTTAAGGATTTGAATGAAAAATGATCGTAAATCAAGGATAACCATTGTATGCCATAAATCTGATTTAAGTAGATAATGTTTGAATGGAAGGAAAAAACAAATTTTTTTTTTTGCTTAGAATTGGCGCAGGTAAAAAATTTTAATAAAAAAAAAGGTTTGAATTTTTTTTTTATTTTCCCTTTAATTTCCGCTAGATTAATTTCAATTTTTTGATTATTTTTTACTTGGAAATAATATGGCCCATAGATGTCGTAATATACTTGATATCGATTGCGTTCGCATTATTATTATTTGCATTTGGTATAAGTATTTATTTTTCATTTCAACCAAAAAAATTTCAAATTTATCTTATTTAAAGTTTATGTGATGAAAGTAGAGAATTACATATTTAAGATTAAGCCGCAGTACACAGATATTATACAACAATATCATTTTAAATTAACACTTTAAAATTTATATTCAACAATAATCAGAGTGAAAAATATAAGACGATAAGCCACATTTGGAATAAAACAAAAACAAATTTAAAACCATTTTTGAATATTTTTTTTTTTAATTTGTTTTAGCAATGCCACACTAACGTATGGTATTTGAAATTTTAATATTTAAACTTCTTCTATTACATTGGTAATTTAGAAACATTTAAATATAATTGGTTTGAGTCTTCGGTAACTATTACTTATATTTTGTAGTTAAACATCAGCTATTTAAAATTATAAAATAGAATATGAGCTCAAATTTGATTTGATCCTGTAATATGGTTTAATTTTTGGGTTTCTAATAATAATCGAATTTCATTTGAAAAACTTAATTTTTGGATATCATAATATAAAAGGATTCTTTTGTTGTTTTGTGAGCTATTTTCAATTCATACATATTAACTGTTATACTAAATATTTCAATAAGCACTACTTACAAGATTTTATACTAATTAAATTATGCTAATACTATTAACTTACAATTTTATATCAAATTATTGGCGTATTTCTTTAGCCGCAATTATTTTAATTAAAGAGGCCTCTTAAATTTTAAACTTATGTTATAAAATTTTAATCGAGACAATAAATTCAGTACATTCGAGTAAAATTGACACTTCTACATTCAATAATATACACATACAGAAGATTGTTAGTGTTGCCATGTTAAGTAGTTTTTTATAAAACAAATTTAGAAAAATCTTTAAAATTAAGTTTTTATTTTCTAATACGTTATCTGTTTAGCTCTTATTTAAAGCTTTTTAAGTAGATACACATAAGTATTTATAAATTCACTTAGCAATTTTTTGTTTAAAGAAAGCATGAATGTATGCACATATACAGCAAGTTTTAAGTGAAAACTATAAAATAAACAACAAAGATACAAAAAAAAATTATTAATTATAGATTCAAAAAAAAAAAAAAAAAAACAAAATAAAACAACAAAATTTCAAATCTTTGCGTAGGTTTGTTATTTGCACCCCAAAAATTATACCATAAAAACCTAAGCGTTAGATAGAAAAACAAATATTGAATAATTTATAAAAGCTATACCTAACCTAAATGAAATTCATGGTACAAGAAACCAAACCAATAAAAATATTTAATAGTAAAAAATTTAGCTAGTTAAAAAAGAAGTAAAAAAAAAAAAAATAATAACAGAAAAAGGGTAAGTGAGGAAGAAGAAGAAGAAGAAGAAAAAAAAGTCTTCAATTAAATTTAAGATTTACGCTAAGTACTGTTTATCTCTTCACCGCAGTCTCATTCTCATTCACTGTCTCACTCTTTTTTTTTTTTTTTTGCTTTTTTCTTTTGATAATTTTCATTAAATTAAATTAACAATGAATTTTTGTTTAGTAGTGTTTTTTTTTATTTAAAAGTTTAAAATTAAAATTAAAAAAAATTGTTTTGTACTTATTATTTTTTTTTTCTTACTTATTTTAATTTAAATAAAAAAAAAACACATAACAAAAAGCCTACAACTAAAAAATAAAAATAAATCGTAAAGTGAATTAAACAAAAGAAAACACGAAAAAAAAATAATAATAATAAATAAAAGAGGCAAAAGATATTTACGCTAGAAATAGAAAAAAAAGAGAAAAAGAAATAAGAAAAACAAGAAGAGAAGTGAATAAAAATTCAACAAAAACAACAACAATAATAACAATAATGTTAGATAGGGACAAAAAAATGGATATTAATACAATCGCCACCAGAAGGAGCTGTTGTAGTTCTTTGTATCATCATTACAATTACTACTGGCTTACAATTTCATTTGTGATTTTGTCATCGCTAATTGGATATGCCCATTTACAAGGTAAGTTAGTATCTATACACGTATAAACTTATAGTAAACTAAACAGAATGTGTACAATTGTACAAACATACATGTGACTATTATTGAAAAGCTATTTTGAAACGCACAATAATTTTCATTCTTAATCGTGGGTAATTTGTTTTTTTTTTTTAGTTATTTATTTTGTTTTTATCTTTTGTCTTTTGGTTTTTTAGTTTTTTGTCGTTATCATGGGGACAAAAAATATTAAAAAAAAAATTTTTTTTCTTCTTCTTTTCAAAATAAAAAAAATAATTTGCTATTCTAGTTTTGATGTCTTTTGTCTGTTTTTTTTTTTTTTGTATGTTTTGTTGGTTACGAAAGCTTAAAAAGAATATAAAATTTTTGTATATATATTTATTTTGAGAAATTTTATTTAACCCTTTAAAAGATTTTTAATATTATAAAATAGTTACCGTTAAAAAAATTAATTATCTACGTCACTTAACATTAGAGTTAATCTTAACGCTAACTAACCCTGGTTTCCAGATTTTACGAAAATCAATCTTCGAATTGCGCTTCAACAATCTCTAAACTTTATCTTATCTTTTACTTAAAGACTGCAAAATAAAAATTTACAGAAAAACGAATTTAAAATTTACATTGTCAAAATCATATGAGTTGACTTTCAGTTTTGACGTTTGGCAACTTATCTTAAAAATTTCACACTTTATTACAATTGATGCAGAATATACAAAAAGAAGGAATCAAAAATATGTTATCTATGGCTGAGTTTGAACTAATTAAGGCAATTGACATTTAAAATTCAGTTATTTTTTTGATGTTACCAGTATGTCGAAAAAATTTTAGAATCAATTTCTGTGTATAATAGATGGCCAGTGAATACTATAAATGAGGGTATTCAGGGGAATTACATTGCAAAATTTACTTAATTAATTTCGACATTTATTTTAATCGTTAAAAAATTTATCTTATTTTATGATACAAACACTATGAACGGGTTAAATAAATAAACATTTTATTGTAATTTTTTGTTGTGATTCATAAAATATCATAAGATCCGGGCTATTTTATTTTATCTACTTTTTATTCCTTATTTGTTTTACTAAAATATACAATCATATATATATATGTATGTATATTTATGTAGAAAATTTAAAGGACACATTTATAGATTGGACATTGTCAGCTTCTATTCTGTCAAACTATTAAAAACAAATCACTAATTTTATATTCAATGTACAAAAGATATTTAAACTGACTGCGATACTTAGATTTTATTGGAATTCTTTTCAAATTTTATCTACATTGTTCGAATACGAGTACAAGGCAATAATGTGGTTGACGATTTTTTTTTTCATGATGATGATGATGAGCTCATTTTATGCAAATTTTCATATTAAGGAGGGAGAGAATTCGCATTTTTTTTTTTTTTTCTTAAAAATGTAAATTTTTTTACTGATTTTATTGATTTTTTACTTTAAATTTTTTCTATAAATTTATTATATATATGAGTATGTATGTATATATAAAGATTTGAGTGAATTTGCTTTACTAAATTGGAAGCAGGAATAAAGAATTGCTGTTGAATTTTTATTATCTATTTAGAATAAATAAGGTATGATCTTTTTTTTTATTGGTTTTTGTATTTTTACACAGGTTTTTACTTTAATTGGGAATTCAAGTCGTTGAGAATAAGAGGAATTAAAAAAAAAACTGTAAATAAAATGTATTTTAATTAGAAAATTAAAGAATTTTTTTTTTGTAATTTTGCACTACGCAAAGATCCCATATATAAAAAATATATAATTGAATAAAATTAATTGTAACGTTAAAAGTTCTATAAGAGTTAATATGAATGTAAAAGTTTAATAAACTCAAACAATTAAATTAAAATGTAAAAAAAAAATATAAATTTAAATTGAAATACGCCTTGAAATCATATGCAAATAGTGGGTGATTATGAATTTAAAGATTTTAAATTGAAGAAATAAAATGTGTATTGCCGCAATCACCCACTGAAAATAGTTGAGTCATAAATTTTTTCGCAATATTTTTAATAATAATTGCTAAATGCAATTTTATTTGTATGCAATTCTAAACATTTACGATCTTCTTCATTAAATTATTTTTTTTTGTTAGAATGAAATTTTTAATTAATTTAATTTAAAACTGCAAGTGTGATTCATATTTCAGGCATCCAATTACTGTAATCCTGTTATAAACCTAAAATATTTTAATTTCATTGAATGCCTTCCTCTAATATCAGTAAATTCCTGTTTAGACAATTGATAAAATGAGACTAGATTTAATATAAATATGGGAAAATGTTATAGTTCAGCACATAACGGTTCTTATTTAATATCATACTCTAATGAAAATTGCAATTTTCAATAATTGATACGAGATCTTTTGAATAAATGAGATCGAGCGGTGATCAGTCTAATTTTACAAAAGAATTTAATTAAATTTTTAATAGTTTATGTCCAGAAATTTTATGAGCTAAAATCAATTTGAAATTATTGTGAACTTAGAAAATTTTAAATGTTTACATTGAAAAATTTTTTTTATATACTTAAAATAGAAAAATTTTTTGTACTTACCTACTTGTTCGTTACTGAGTTCGTTTAAAGATCGTTACTGAGTTAATCCTTCTTAATATGACATGATTCAATTTGCCGTTTTATATAGTTGGCATTATTTTATTAATATTTATTCATTATGTGTTAGAGCTCAATTCATTTTCAAAAATCTCACCGATTTAGATTTTGGAATTTTATAAAAACCACTGAGAATGTGAAATTTTTTAAATAATAGAAAATTCAATTCATATTCAACCTATATTAAATCAAATTAATTAATTAATTGAATTCCAAAATCTCATATTTTTCACAAAAAATTAATTTAATATTTTAATTATTACTAATTATAAATTTTATTGAATTATGAAATTTATACTATCATAAATTAAGTATAAAATTTATTTTATACATGTAGTGTAGATATTTATTGTCGAAATAAGTTACTTAAAATAAATTTCACATATTATTTAAGTATTAAATTTATTTGTTAAACTTGTTTTCTTTTAATTTTTATGTATATTATTATTATGAGATTCACAATATTCACAATATTATGAGATGAGATGATCTTCATCTCATATTTCAACAAAGGTTTATTAATTTAATAATTTTTAGGTTATCAAATTAATAATATTTTCATATATCTTTACAAAATAATATTTAATAAATTATTAATTTCTCATTTTGTTTTTTTCATATTTTGTTTATGACCTACAAACCAGATTGCAAAGTAGCACTAACCAACTCAATTTCTTATTTTTCTTTTTGATAATATTTTAATTTGTAAACCCTATAAGCCTCATTTATGTGACAATTTGTATATTACAAAATGCTCATTTATCATTATTTAAAAAAAATCAAAAAATTAAAAGAAAATAAAATATTAAAAGATCGCATATCAAAAAATATTGATGTCACAAGTTGTGATAGAATTTATGTAAAGCCTAAAAAAAAAGAAAATTTCTTATTCATTTCTCAAAATATTTGCAATGTAATAAAATATTATACTTTTTATTTTCTTGTTTTATATTCAAATTTAATGTATGTAAATTAATATAAATGAAATTTGCATAATATTCGAATTAAAAGCACATAAAATAGCCAATGCTGCCGCCTTTTTATTATTACAAATTGGAAAAAGGAGGAGTACAAAAACAACAGAGACTAAAATTTCACAAATTTAATATTACAATTCATAATAATTATCACAAAATAAAAAAAATATATTTGAGATTTATAAAGCAATAAATAAAAAAATTTTATAACCCAAACAAAAAAAAAAACCATCATACTGTGTTGCATGAACTTTGAAATTTTGAGTGACCTATTGGGTGACATGATATGAAAATGTATTAAAGTATGTATAACAAATTTATATACAGAATGATGAAAAATTAATGTTATGATTTGAGATTTTGTTTTTTAAGTCAGCAAGCCTAAATTTGATCATTTATTCATTATTGTACGTTTTCTCGTTTATTACTCAATTTTGAACTGCAATATTTGGCTAAAAAAACAAATTTTCTGATATGATTTTCTTTTTATATGTATTTTATTTATGCTACATACCGTTAACTATGTTCGTATTATATAACATCAACTTCCATAATACCATACATGAATTTATTTCAATTTATAACAAGATGGGGCGGATAATTTTTGATTTAAATATGCTTGAATTTATCGCCGGGTTATTTTCTTCTGGTGTTTTGTTCTGAATTTGCTGTTTTCATTCGAATTTTGGAATAAAATATTCATCTTGTTTCACTCTGTATTATTAAAGTTGATATTGTTGTTATCCACTCCATATACAAATTGAATTTTTAACATTTTATGTAATGTTAATGTTAAAAAAAAAGTTGATAAAATTTTTAATTTATTTAAAATAAATTCACTTTCGTTTCGTTTTTTTGTTGTGCTTCTTATAATTTTTTTAAATAATACTTAATTTCTGTTTATTATTATTATCTATAATTTATAATATGCTTTATTATGGTGATAATATTATAATCAGCTGCATTTATGTATGTATGTAAATGACCACATTATTAAAAAATCAAGTTAAACAAAAACTGTTACTTTAAAATGAGATTTCATATTAATTATATACAGTTATTTTGATTGAAATCTAAATTCAAAAATTATTATTATTAAAAAATTCAAAAGATTTGATTTAATCACAACTTTTTGATTTGCATTATTAATATTGATAAATGTGTAATATCCCGTTGTTAAACTGGTGTGTTGAAACGTTAGTTAAAATTACTTATGTATGTTAAATGAATACATACAAATGCATACATTGCTGGATAACATCTGTACTGTTCGACTTGCTTAGCTACATCTTATGCTCAGCACTCGTAATATTAAATTTGTATTTTGTTAAATATTACATTTTTGACGAGAAAGCATAATGCGCGTGTGAACTTTATTTCTACA